AACTACATGAATCTGCAGAATGTTCACCTGTAGTATTTTTGTTAACATAATCAAATGATCCAAAATAACCTAGTCAAGGGTGTAACTTTGTGATAAAAGTTGGGTTGGGACTCCCTAAAGAGTAGGGGCTGATGGTCCTACAGCTACCCGAAGGCTTTCAATAGGGTTTATATAGAGAAAATTTGGGTCTCTGCAAGTCATCTGGGAGTCTTCAGTGAAATCATAGATTAATAACTACTTTAATAAAAACTTATTAAATGATCAAGTTATGTAGATATTAGTATTTGTAAATATGATTTTATCCAGAATAATTACTGATACAAGTAGGTAAGTAATGACGATGGAAAAGATGTTCGCCCAAACTCAAACCATCCACTATACCTTTTATGTAGAAAGAATGGATATTTTAATATATTCCTCTATTTGTTAGCAAAGGCTGTGGGAATGTATAGTTAGTCTTTATTTAGAAATATGAATGTTTTGCTCGTTAATTTTCCTGTTGCAACAGTGTAGATTGACCCTGAGGTTCTGATGCCTATCTACTTTTGGCCAGCCCTCAGTGTACATTGGTTATTTCCATGGCCACCCTTATTAAAATTTTCTGGCTTCGCCTCTGGTCTACCAATATAATGATGCCGGATAAAATTAATTTCAAGATATCTAGAAGCTCTGCAGTCTAATTCTCTGTTCAATAAGAAAACAACAGATATGTGTTACTTTTAATCTATAACTCTGAGTGATCTGGTCTTTTGAGAGGCCCAGCTTTTTTAACTACTGCTACTCTGTAAGCAGTGAATAGCGACCCCAAATAATATTATTTCCCAAAGCAACAGATCAGATGATGTAGAGGTGGGACTCGAGAGCGGCAAGGGGAAAAAAAGGGGGAAAAAGCAGAAATTATTGGTTATTGGGCTGTCCCCTCCATGCCCAAAGTTGGTGGGGACATGTCCCCTCCATGCACAAAGTTGGTGGGGACATGTCCCCTCCATGCCCAAAGTTGGTGGGGACATGTCCACACCAGTCCTTCAGAAAGTTACGCCAGTGAACCTAGTTATGTTTTTGTATCTATCCATGTCCTCCTCACAATTTATTGAAATCAGGCTTGCAGTCTCAGTAAACATGTCCTCTAAATCTCAGGGTTCAGTCAAAGTTTAAGTTGTTGTCGCTGTTGACCAAAGTGCAGCAGGTTTAGTGCTGCTTGTAAATCAACCACAATCTCCCCAAAAGCAAGTCCAAAAATCACAGTATACCTTAGAAAAGGTGGCTATGATCACATGAACAAAGCACACAGCTTTATGCATTATAACACTACACAGACACATTTATATGCAATTATTCTGACAGCAGTCTAGCCGGACATTTGAATTCACCACATTTAAAATGACTGAAATTGTTTTAAAAATGTATATTTTCTTACTCGTCTGCGACTTGTCATGGGGCGGCAGTCTCAGCAGAGTCTCTCTCTCCGGACACCTCCAGTTCTGCTGGAGGAAACCCAGTCCAGCCAAGAAACGTAGTCTCTCCATGGTGTACTGGGTCTTCCCAATGGCCTCCTTTCAGTGCGACCTGGAAATGAGATCACAATCTCATGTTTTTCTGTGTTCAGAGTATAAACCCCTTAAGAGACAACCTGTATTAAAAATACCTGCAAGAAAATGCACACAGGAAGCTGAAGAAGCCCCGAAAGGTCTGAAGAAACTGCTTATCAAGAACAGGAAGCATCTAAGAAGGGAGACAGGGAATTACGGTAATGAAAGCAAGAAGGCATACAGGAAGAGGCTGGTCAGAGATGTGTGGTCAGGGATAACGATCACAGGCTTTGAGGACGATGATCAGACAGATGGAAGTCTGGAAAGAGCAAAATGAAATGAATCCATTCATGAATAGGTTCAGTTCAGTAACAAGCTCAGCATCCTTCTATCTTGCTCACAGTCACATGGACATGCTGCCCTCCTCTGCCACTGACTGTCCTGCTTCTATGACTTTGTTCTTAGCCAAATCAGAAGATGTGTGCTGCTCCTTCCATCTTTCCGATGAGGCAACAGGGGAGATTGGATTTTAATAAGTCACCGGGTCCTGATGGTGTTAGTCCCAGAGTCCTGAAGACCTGTACAGAGCAGCTCTGTGCGATTGTACAGCACCTCTTTAGCCTTAAGGGCAGATTAGACTTCTACAACCGCACACATCAAATGTCGCTTGGTTCTGGTCGCGAACCAGTTTTGCTGATATGCTTCTGCTCCGTCGGTCTGGAATTTCTAGGGACGTACAGCAGTTTCCTGCCAAAGCGCAAAGGGGAGCCTGTTCGAGAACTCGTGAGAACTCCGGCTGATGGTCACGAGAACTTTTTTTTGGCAGAGACCTTGGCATCTTTATATAATTTGTCTGATGCATCGTACAAGTGGTTGTACTTCCGAAACTCCTTGATTAACCTCTCGTCGTAGTTGTCCATTGCAGTTGTTCCTCGGTTTTTAAAAATGGGGCGCCCCAGCATCGAATCGAGAAAGACGACCACACAGACAGCCGTAAAGGCATACCAAGGACCAATCACAGCTGCTTTTTGTCTGCGCACTTCCGCTTGAGGTCTGTGCAGGTTTGCGACCATCAAACGCCTAGTCAGGATTTTTTTTAGGTGAGCGATGACGGTTGCAGAACCGTAGTTGGCATGTGAGGCAACCAGTCAGGGAAGTAAAGTGGCCTTGTATGATCAAAAAATCTTTCAAATAAAAATTATATATTTTTTTTCTTCCTGTAATATACAATTCATATTTATCTTGGCTCTCAAATTTACAATAAGTAATCAGCCAAAGTGACCCGGTAATTCTTTTGCATTTATTGGAATTTATGCTTCTATACAGTCTAACCAGACTTTTGAATTCACTGCTGCATCTAAAAGACCCTATATTTTCTTACTCGCCTGCATTTCATGTTGCATCAAATGTGCAACAGTGTCTGCAGTAACTGCCAGACTTCCCTCTTTCCAGGCACTTTCAGTTCTGATGAAAAGTGTATAAAAAAAACTTTTTGTTCTGTCCTACTAACCCTAACCCTAACCATTTACGAATATACGAATAGCCTACCAGTCTTAGTCTTATTTTTTTAATGCAAATTTAAAAGGACAATAAAAACTGTGAATGTTTGTTCTACATCATTGAGTCTAGCAGGTTTACATCTAGTAGGGCTAGCTGTAGTTTCACTGCTAAAGAAGATCCCTATTTACAGTGATGTAACTTTAATGCAGCAAATTAATACATTAAAAACATAACAACTTAACACTAAATATTGCCTACTAAAATTATGTCAGGATTCTTAGGGTATAGAGATTGCTCCAGAGATATGGACCATAAATTTACACTTTAAAGTTAGTGAGTTATACTCCTCTGATAATGATTCATTGCAGGTGTGGGGAGTTTAAAGGTGTAGGCAAGCCCTCCAAGACAGAGTAAACAGATGGCACCCTCTGGTGGACAAACAGTGGAACTGAAAAGGAAAATAAACTAACCCCACAAACTGCAACCCAAAATAACCCCCCCCTCAAGACAAGATGAATGTTAGGTTACTGACCAAGAGTCAATGTGTTTGTTAGACCAATTATATTTGTATCTGAAGGTTTCCTGCCAAAAAGTAACAAGACCTAAAAGGGTATGAGCATGAATAAACTTGAAAAGTTCAGAGAAACCTCAGCAAAAGCTCAGATGGGCTAGAGTACCCAAAACAGGCAAACGCTCTGGCGAAGAGGTGATATCAGTCAGCTGCTCATATACACCTCTTTTCACTGTAGATAAGCCCTGATCTGCTTCTCTGTTCTCCATTATTCATTTGTATGAAATAATAGCTGCATGAATCATGACAGCGGACAAAATAGAGGAGAGCAGAATGTGGGGGTTATGAATCCACTTATTCTGGAGAGCAGAGTTCGGTGCTTTTATATTTGTTGCTAAATTCTCCAGTAGCAGAAAAAAGTCGCTAGATATGGCGCCAGGTGCTTTTTCTAAATCAAAGTGCTAGAGTGGTCTGATAAGTCATGTGTAGTAAATGGACTGATCCAATGTGGTGAACACTGAGGGGGGTGGGGGTGTTGGCTTAGACACACTTAATATTATAAACGCTCTGATGGCATTTTAGTGAAAGCATTTTTTTAATCAAAAACGTAATTAATGTGCACAAATAAAGAATAGTTGTATTATTTTATGGGGCACCTACTGTAGTAACTTGTGGCCCTAGGAAACTGCCTAGTATTGCCTAATGTTAAATCCCCCCCTACTCAGGCATTGTCCGGTCAATGAGGGTGATGACAAGTGGGCTACTAAATGTTTTTATTTTGCCATTCTTAAACTGGATTACCTTCCCTATGGAGGCGAGTAGATTGTTACAGCAGCAAGACAAATTAAAACATGTACACATCAATGAGGATCATTTGAAAAATTTAATAAAATTTTATCAAAAAACAAAAATATTTGTTAATATTTCTGTAGCAAAGACAGTAATTGAAACAAAATACAATTATACTTTATAACCTACTGGAAATTAATTTAAGAAATGCTAATGCCCAAGGTTAAAAACCTTCCTGAAGGATTCCCATCATATTATATACATAAGATAATAACAGATGATGAAAATTTACAGAATAAAACTTTGTAGCAAAACATTACAACAGCAAAACAAACATCAAATTTGAAACAATAAAAAAGCATTAAAAGAAGAGTTAAAAAAACACATCTCCATAAAGCGCCTTGAAGTCAGGTGCACATGGTGCTCATTTAGAGCCTTTACAAAGTTTTGTAACATTGGGGGCTCCAGCCAAGACCCCTTGTTCCTCCTGGTCACGCTTAACATAAACCCTTTACTATCTGTATCCATTTTACTATGTTTATCATTCACACACAGCACTGCAAAGAAAAAAAAAAACACACCTTTCTCCCCACCTCGATGCATCAACCTATTATAAGAGACAAATTATGCTGGGGCCGGACAGTCCGTTCCCAATAAGCCTTTTTTTCTCCCACATCCATGAAAAATGAATTTCAAATCTTGCATTGCAATAAATAAGTATAAAATAAGTATTTTCTATAGGCTTTGGCCTTTTGCATTAAGCACAAACAAAGTAGAGATGATGTCTGTTCAGGATGAAAGTGGAGCTGACAAACCTGTTGCTGTAAAAAGTGTAATAATCTAGGGGTGCAGCAAAACACAACTGGGCAAAAAAATCAGCAGCTTTATTATATGTAATGAGGTATCGTAGCAACGTCTAATTGCCTCTAGTACTGCAACTTAAGGAAATATGTCTGAGCATGTGGAGGCTTGAAGAAACTCAGCCATAGTGATAAATGACGTTATATGCCTCAACTAAATAAAACAATAGATTATTATTACTTAGGGGTGTCATTATCGTGTAATTCTGGAGATTCCTATTTTACTTTATGATCAAATATAATATTTCTAATAAAAATAACCAGTTTAATTAAAAAAAATCAAAAGAAGCTCTCCATTTCTAAAAAAAAAATATGTGTCCTGGGTATTTGGCTTAATGATGAAATGACTCTGCATTTTTAGAAAAATCATAATGACCTCGATAAGCTGCCAATGCTGAAATTATCTAAAGGTGAGTCGGCTGTGTTCAGAATCATCTGAATTTTAAAAAGTGCAATTTAAAAATACAGTTATTTTTATTGATGATTGTTTTGCCCACCATTTTTTTTGAATGAGCAAGGTTTAACTCTTTTTATACTTTTTATGTTTAAAAATTAAACATCAATCGCTTTTCATTTTAGAATGACAGCGCTCTTTCAGAAATGTTTGAATTTGGGTTAACTTGTTTTGTAGTTTCTCTCCAATAGTAGTTTCTCCTACTTTACTTATAATGCTGGGCAGCTGCTGAATATGTGCAGCTGTGGCAGATGATTTCCATTCACAGATTCTTGCATGAAGTTTGGAGAAGCTTAGCTCCAAACTCTCTCCTGGCTTTTTACCATCCTTAGATGGGAGCTTCTGCACAATCCGACGAAGTTGTTTGATGTTCATTTTGTGGAAGATGAAGAATGATGGGATGATTTCTTTAAGGTACTCAGTTTCATCTGAAAATATAGATTGTTAAAATTAATTAGGGCTTAAACAAGAAATCGACTCCACTGATTCCTAAAAAACAATGTCAGTTTCACATAAAGCTTCATATTTCTTTTTCTTGATGCTAACTGGTGAGTAATCATGCATTTTTTTCTTTAATACTTTGTTTACATGCAAACATTTACCTTTGAGCTCCTCACAGTTTGCACACACACTGTCATGCCAGGTGGAGCCTTTCAGCACACACTGCAGTCCTGCCTCACTGCAGTTCTTGTGATTTGTGCAGTTTTGATGCGCAGAGGAAATGTCAGAGAAGGTACCTTGAGGGCAAGTGTAACACACAGTGTTTTTCTCAGGTGTACCTGCAGGAAAATAAAAGAAAGAATAATTAATTTCTCATAACTATATATTATATAACATTATTGAGCTAGATGTCCTTAACTGAATAGACAATGAGTATCAAATAGGACATATATAACAGAATTGTTTTTGAAAAGGGATTGGGATTGTCCAATAAATAATCGAAAAGCAAAAAATTCAAACATGGAATTTATTAAAATAAAAAACTAAACTTATGACACTCTTTATCCTGCGGGGTTTTTTTAAACAACTAAATGTAAAAAAAAATAAATGAATTGCAGCAGAAAATTTGTGTTTCATGATAGGTTTTACTTTTTCATTTGCAATGATGTTTTTTCATGCTTAAACTTTCAATTTCAGTTTCAGAATTTTCAGTGTTTACTTTGTGAGGTTTCATTTTTCAGTGCCAAAAGTCTTTTTCAATGTCCGAGAAAACTGTAGGTGTATATTTTAGTACATTCGCAGTTCTCAGGTAAACAGTTGTCCGTTTTTAGGGAAATCGCCAAATGGATAGATATTGTAGTTTAAAAAGAACATTCTCACCTAAAAACACATTAAATGTTTATTTTAGGTCTTATACAGAGAATTATATGGATTTTTCTAACAACAATTTTGGCCACTGTCATCCACCATTTCTGTTCGAGCAGACTCATGGGAAATGGGGTATGCTCAGGACCCTGCGATGCATCCTGCTTAGACGTGATCCTCTAACATTTTTTCTTAAACCTGAGAACTGAATTTTTTCCTTAGAACTGAAAACCTTTTTTCCAGAGAACTAGCAACTGCTTTCTTCAGAAATAAGGCTGTCCTAAAATGTACACCATAAAGCTGTCACTGGTTTAGTTCCATAGCATTACTGCTCCTTTCCTCTATAAAAGAAGCACACTGGCAGTAAAGCTGTACCAATTAACCTCAACATTTCTTCATCTAGTCTATCAACTGGATTTCTTTTATATTTTACAATTATGAATGAGTTCAATTGAGTTAGCGCTACTTCACAACACATGAAATCTTAAGACACTCACTGAACCAATGCATGCAGAGTGAAAATGCAAACTCCTCCACTCATAAAGCCCATGCTAGATTTTGAACCCAAGACCTTATTCCTGCAAAGTGACAGGATTGAAAACGTTTCAAATGTGCACACAACTGCCCTCTTTGATAATTGAATGTTTTCTGACTTTGCAAACCATTCTATCAATTAAGATTCAGATGCACTGATCTAAAACCTAAAATCAGTGCATCTTCTGTCAACGTCATGCACAGCTATAAAGTTACAGCAAGCTGCAGCTAGTTTTAGGCAACTGCTATATCTTAAATCCCATTTCAACATTTAGTGCAGAGGACATTGAAGTGCTTTTTATTTCTTTCAATAAGCACATTAAGTATTTTAAATCTGTGTTAATTTATCCCTTTTATAAAAAAAAACAATGATTATGGCAAGCCTAATTACTTTCACCCACATGACAAGATCTAGATTTAATTTATTCAACAGTAGTATTGAATACCCTAGGCCCAGTCCAGGTATTGACTGGTGCATCTCTAATTAAGACACTGCTGGATAGCGGCACAATTTAGAGAGTTGAAAAACTAAAAAGGACAACAGATAGGTGCTACTTTTTTTGCACCAGTATGGTGCAATTATGATGGTTTGTAGCTTTACAAATGGTAAACTTATATAAATATTTTTAAATCCAAAATATATAAGCAGAGGCGTAGCCAGAAAATTTTCATAAGGGTGGCCAAGCAATAACCAATGTACACAGAGGGATGGCCAAAAGTAGATAGGCACCAAAACCTCAGGGTCAATCTACACTGTTCCAACAGGAAAATTAACGAGCAAAACATCCACTTTTCCTAAATAAACACTAACTATACTTTCCCACAGCCTTTGCTTAGAAATAGACTAATATATTCAAATATCCGGGCTTTCTTAAAAAGTTTTATTAAAATAGTTATTTATCTATGATTTCACTAAAGACTCCTAGATGACTTGCAGAGATGCATCGATTTCTCTTTACACCATAAAACACAAAATCTATTTAACAAAAGAGCATGAATTCTGTACTCATCATCTTTACTGTTAGTATATTGATGTGCATAATACAGTGTTTATGTTGTCGAGTTATTGTTAACCCTTTATAACCCCCTTACAAATGGAGTCCACTCCATCCCTCAGTGAGTTCTAGAAGCACAAGATCTATATGTAGCCATTCAGCAAAGATACTACTACATGCCTGTACATTATAATTAGACGAGCCCTTGAATGATAAATGACCTACTGTAAAGAAATTGAAAAATATATATATAAATTAACAAGTTAAGAAAAAAAGGTTACAAGCTGATTTAGATATTTATGTTTATAAACTAAAAAATGCAAGTGCCAGTATCAGCATTAATACAGGTGATGTTGTACAAAAAAAAGGTTATTTTCACTATCATTCATGTTTTTCATGAATTTCTTATAGAAGCACTTTTGTTATTTTTCTTAATATATTCTGGCAAGTTGGCATTTCTTGTTATTACATTGACATTAATTTTTGCCATCAAAATATCCATATTTTTGAATGTTACAAAGGTAATAAGGTTTAATCCTGGCTTGCAATACAACTATTGGCTAGAAATCTTGATTTTCAAAGTATTTCACTGAAAATTAAAATATTTTGATTTATCCACTTGAGAGTATAACTTTTGTAACCATCTGTATAAGGGGGAAATACATGGTCAATGATTGGCTAAGGGTGGCCATGGCCCCCCATCTAGCTGCGCCCCTGTGGAACCGCTCAGACAGCACATTATTTAGTTATTTTTTGCTTGTTCAGATGTTAATTTTTCTGTCATTCTTAATCAGAATCTCAGTGGTTCTGAAGCTGAAATGAGTGTAAAGTCTCACCTTGGGTCAGGACTCCGTGGCCGGGTCTGCACTCTGCGTGTTGGTAACACATTTCATATCTCTGGTCGTAGAAGTATCCTTCTTTGCACTCGCACTGACAGTCGCTGTCTGCGGTGCACTCCTTCTTCACCACCTGGTTCCTTCCGCAGACTCCGCAGCGCAAACATCTCCCGATGTAGTTCCAGAGCTCCGTGAAGGAGCCCTGCGGACACGGAGAGCACTCGCTCTTTTTAACGGAGGAGCATGTGGCGCGCAGGAAGGTCCCCGGCGGGCAGCGGTCACACTGCACCGGTCTGCCGCTGATCGGGTCCCTGCCTTCATAGGTGGGAGTGGCCTCTGGGCTGATCGCCAGGCAGAGTCCAAGAATCAGCACAACAAAAGACTTTCTTAAAACGCTTGAATCCTGGAGAGAAGGAAAAAAGGACAGAAGAAAATAAATATAACATTAACAACAAAAAAAAAGAATGCAAGGAAACAATCAGAACACAGATCAGGACATTAAAAAGAAATAGTCAAGCAGGAAACATAGTCGCACGTGTGCGCCAGGAGAAATCCCAGCGAGAAGTGAGACCAGAAGTGAGAGGCAAGAGTCTCCACCTACCATGATGAAGATCGTTGATAGGAGCATACCCTCAGTCTGCTTTATATTTATGCTCAGGCGCCACCCACATATTTGTGTGTAAATTTCCAGGACTTACCCTCAATGAGTTATTTTCGGGACTTGCTTTATTTATTATTAGGCTCATTATTATTCTATACCCATTATTGTTTTATTACCCTTTATCTCTCTCTCTCTCTCTCTCTCTCTCTCTCTCTCTC